CTGTTAAATTAGGGACGGCTAGCGCAGATAGCCCTCGTGTAGCTTTGCGCGAAATTCCAAAAAACAAACAAACAAACTAAAGCGCAAGTACCGTTTTTTACTACTTTTGAAAACTGTTTTTTTTTTTTTCTAATTAGCTACACGAGGGCTATCTGGGCTAGCCGTCCCTAATTTAACAGTGTAAAACTAGAGGGAAGGCAGCTAGTCATCACCACCCACCGCCAACTCTTGGGCTACTCTTTTATCAACGAATAGTGGGATTGACCGTCACATTATAACGCCCCCACGGCTGAAAGGGTGAGCATGTTTGGTGGGATGGGGATGCGAACCCGCGACCCGCAGATTGCAAGTCGAGCGTCCTAACCACCTGGCCATGCCGGGCCACGATACTTTATAACCCAAGCGATTTCGAAAGGTGGACCTTTCTTCTTCAGTTTGTGGTCAAAGTTGTTGATACAATTTGCTATGATGAGATGCTCTTATGTGGATTTATGGGCTATACTGAAAACTGATAAGTTTCTTTGTAGTTCACACGAAGCTACACTATGGGGTTTCTGTGCTGTGCCCATGACGGATATCGAAACCCGGAATTTAGCAGTTTAAGTTCTTAGTCTTACCATTGTACCACTGGGGGACAATTGACAAGATAGGTGGAAACTTCAGATGGCCCATTGTTTAGCTCCACGCTTAACAATAAATGTGTGTTTTTCTAAAGCAAAGTCACATCGGGCTATCTGCTGTGTCTACCAAGGGGAATCGAACCGCTGATTTTAGCGTCGTTGTAAATCAGTAGACTTACCGCTGTCCCAGCGATGGACTTTAACAAGAAACAACAACCCAAATGTACAATAATTTGATATAAAAACCAATAGTTTTTATGAGATTATTTAGAAATTCGTGCAAGGTTAAAACAAGTATATAAAAAAAAACGTTTACAAACCCGTCAAAAGCTGAAAAATCTAAGTGACGATGTAATAATGTAAAAAAAACAAAAAACATTTTTTAAACATTTTCTTCCAATTCAACCATCAGCGTTTCCCATGAATACAACGAATTTCACATAGTATTTTCTCATTTTGTTACTCTAATTACCATAACCAGGTCCGCAGGAAGCGGTAAGGCCATGGCCTGACAACTTTTTTAAGGGCATGTATAGCTATAAGTTATGTATTAAAATTTACTTCTTTTAATTCAATGCATTACGTTGTATGTATGTAGTATTTGTAGTTAAAATGGATTAAGATTCAATCTCGTAGCATTAAATTCTCATCCATTTTCTAAGGGGGGCATGCCCCTAGAGCCCCCCCTAGAAATGGGGGGTTTAAGTCAGATAAAAGATTATAAGTGAACGTTTTTGTCTCAGGGCCCATACAGTAAATACTTGTTGCTAGGATATAGTATAGTGTGATCGACACTTGATGGCGCTGACCACGAGTCAGTATTGAAATACTATTAGAAAAATAAACAGCTTTATTTGATAAATTACTCAGTCCAAATTGTACACTTTTTAAACAGTTTTTGTTTTATTAAATGCCGTGTAATGTTTTTTTTTTTGTGTGTGTGTGTAATTTTTTTGCCCTCCTTTTAAAATCATTTTAGTGGCTTACATGAGAACTATATAAGGAGTCGAACCAACATTTTGTTTTCAACCCAGCAAAAACAATTCAAAATTTCCCTGATTTCAGCTACTGCTAATAATCACCGATATTCATTACATATAGACGAAGTAATGAGTTTTGGGTTGAAGTCACAAATAATATCTGTAGTTAAATTTCGTTTGTTTGTGTGTTGTTGTTGTTTTTGTACTCAATAATTATGTTTTTAAAAGATACTTAATGAAGATTGTTGTTTTATTATTGAAACAATAAGTTTACCAGTTTACAAATTAAGATACATTTACTTTATTTCTTTGGCGATTTGTTTATTTATTTAATTACTTTAAATTCAATCGATGGATAAAACAGAAGGTATATAAAAAAAAATGATGCGAATCCTACCTGAGCGAATATGTAATTTGGTTAGATGATAGGTATTGGTACTCTTTTGTGGTAACACTGCTAGATGCGTTGACTTCGTTTCATTCTGTAGCATACAGATAGTATCTTGAACAGGGGTCAGTGGGTTGACCACGAACCTGAACACTGCAGCCACGCAATCCACCTCATCCCGACACCAGCCTTGGCATTCATAGAGGGAAAGGTTTCGTATAGTATAATAGGTGTTACCTGGATAATCCAGGTTGGTTAGCTTTTCGAATGCAGTTCTTGCTGAAGAAAAACAAACGGAATAACTTTAAATTAACCTTTCTAAACAGATATATTTAATTTATAGATGAAAAAAATCATCTGTCAATATAGCTGAATCATGGGAAAACTAATAAAATCAACTTAAGTTTTTACTTTCGACTAATTCACTTAGTACCCACATGGAAAATATATTCACGGTTTATTAACAACAACAAAGTCACACTGTGTTAGGGAGTGCAAGTAGGCCTAACGTGAGTTAACCCTTACTTTGTTGTGTTTATTGAGGTGTTGTGTCCCAGTGATCCTCTACATAAAAATATCTCTCCCCCCCTTCTGAATTGAACTAATTACTAAACACAGTACCCACATGAAAATATATTCACGGTTTATTAACAACAACAAAGTCACACTGTGTTAGGGAGTGCAAGTAGGCCTAACGTGAGTTAACCCTTACTTTGTTGTGCTTATTGTGGTGTTGTGTCCCAGTGGTCCTCTACATAAAAGTATCTCCCTCCTCTCCTTTGAACTAATTACTAAACACAGTCATTGTTTTCTAAAGAAGTCAGTTTTAACAATTAAAAGTAAAAATCTTTCAATAATATATGCACACGCTACTAAGATTTAATTTCATATTTGAAAAGATACGCGAACATCCGCATGACGTTTTCAAGTAACCCAAACTTGTCTTATTGCTACACAAGCTAATCAATTAAATGAAAATCGTTTAAGAAAGAGAAGATCTCAAAGACTATATATATATATATATATTTAAAAATAACTAACCAAGCGACAACTTTAAAATGTTTAAAGCTAGATAAGAATGACATTAAGTGATTTTATACTTTTCAAACATAAACATATATTTTGAAGCTAAACTCTAGAAATTATGCCTTTTAAATATTTTCTTTTATAGTAAAGCCCTTGATTTCAGAGCTGTTGAACCGGGTTTGAATCCTTGCGATACCACAGAATATTCCCGCACTTTAAACTGTGAATGGTTAACGTGAATGGTAGGGTGTTGCCCTCCCTTCAGGTACTAGTTCAAAATTAGAAACTGCGGCAGATAAACTTAGAATAGTTGTCATGAATACAAAATACAACTACATTTTCAAAGCGCTTAAAATGGATTGTTAGTAAATATTACACTTTACGAATTTTGTGAAAAAGAGATTGAAAAGTACGTTAAATGTGGTTACCAAGAACGACTGTACGGAAAAAGAAAACTCAAAAGCTATGTTTGTTTGTTTATTTTCGGATATTCGCGCAAAAACTGCTCAAGAGCTATCTGAACTAGTCGTCTCCAAGTTTGAGCTGATAGATTTGAGCACCCACCACTGTTCTTGTGTAACCTAACAGCGGAATTTGACCGTCACCCTTACAACGCACCCACAGTCCCAAAGTGCGAATCGCAATTTTTTTCGGTAACAGAACGCGAACATTGGACATGTACGCTAACCACGGGTCTATGCTAAGAAAACAAGATTTATGTAAAGCTTGGACAACTTGTTAAAAAGCTTAATAAACAACATCTAATACTGTTGCAGTTTTATTCACGCGTGTAAGTGTTTAACACTTCGTTCGGTGCACGCTTTAAGGTTATGCTTATCAGATACGGAAGCGTGCTGAATTTCGTACTAGGTGACGTCGTGAAACAGAGAAGTGCCGGATGTTTGCTGTTATTTGAACAACGCAAATAGAACTCCTCTTTCTAGCCTGCATAGGTCCTTTATTGTTGTAAACACATAGGTGCAGAATAATATATATATATATATACACACACACACACACAACACATGCTGTCATTTAGACTGTGCTAAAAAAGGCAAGATTAAAACATTAACCCGTCACATACTTGAGAAACAAATTCTTATCTGCTGAGACCAGTATTTTATACGTTTCTTCTTTTCAAACTTCCATTTAAATGTCACGGGGCTAGTAAATGTAACTGTAAAGGTTTCTTGTGCTCAGCTAAATTATCACAGAAAAAGCTAGCTGACCCCTCGTGGAAAGTAACGCAATCATTTAAACGTTTTTCACTAAAGTATTGATAAGTTCCTTTGTGATCACATATTAACACTGGTACAAGTAAAGTCACAGGGTAATAACTATATTTCCTTTTTCCTCCAATTTTTCCGGTAAAATAAACGTACTGAAATTACAAAAAAAAAAAAATACAAGCAAATTTTGTTTTCTCCTAGAAAACAGTTATACTGGGCACATCTCCTAGAAAACAGTTATACTGGGCACATCTCCTAGAAAACAGTTATACTGGGAACATCTCCTAGGAAACAGGTATACTGGGCACATCTCCTAGGAAATAGTTATACTGGGCACATCTCCTAGAAAACAGTTATACTGGGCATACACAGACTATAAGTCTGGAGTATGTGCGATCTTTTAAAGAACTATGATATGAATCATCGAGAAAACACCCTTAATATGTATATGGAACCATGCTTAACTTCAAACAAGTAATTCTAACATCATCATTAAAGTCTCGATTCAGAGATAGCATGAGTTTGTTATTAAGCGCAAAGCTACACAATGGGCTATCTTGTGCTTTGTCCACCATGGGTATCGAAATCCGATTTTTGGCGTTATAAGCCCTTTGACCTATCACTGAGCAACCGGGGAGCAAAAATTTGTTGTTCAGGGCTAAGCTGTATAATTGTCTATCTATGCTCTTCTCACAGCTGGTATCGAAACCTAATTTTGAGCGGTACAAGCACTCAGATTTCAGCGAAAAAAAAACTTTCCATTTGCTCATTCCTAAATAGTTGCATATTTATCCTCACGTCACGCGCATACGCTATTCTGCATATTTCATCTTTATAATGTACTAATCCTTAAAATATGCTAAATATATCACGTGTAATTTTCATATGTAACTGGACGTTCGTTTAAGGAAATTGAAAATATATTTTCCCCGCAGCGATATGTTGAACTCTATTAATGTCGTGGTTGGTTGACCAAGCGACATGCATGATTGAAAGTTAATTGACAAAAATATGTATTGACCACTTCCTACATTGTTCAGGCGCCACCTAGTGAACTCACATGCACTCTCGATCAAAACGCAAGCGAAGCAGAGGATTGGTGTTAAACATACAAGGTGAGTATTATAATTGTATTATCAGTTCTACCACAGTAGTCGTTCGGCCATCAAGAAAAAAACCAACAACAAAAAAAAACACTAAGATAAATACCTTCTAAGAATGTTATCCAGAGAGTGTGAAAAACAAAACATATAACCTTACGCAGTGAATATATAAAACAAAAAGCGTTTGTGTGTATATATATAGAACTCTAGAACCCAGCGTGAAATGTAAACTAGTTTTAAACTAGTTTTTTTGTCTTCTCATTATTGCTCTTACTGTTTTTTTTTTACTTCAATTTTTATATATTTGCCTACTAAGTTAACGACTCTGATATTACGTGCCTGGTTTAACTTAGTATATTTACATAAGCTATTTTCGTAAACCTCGGAACGAGTCAAATGTGTACTATGGAAGGTTAGGGTTAGACTTACCTTCAATACAAAACAGTACTGATAGTGCTCCTAACAGGAAACATGACCCTTTCGACAGCCTTCTTGTTTCCATGACAACAATCATATGCTGTTTTTGTCGTCTTGTGACTTGCTAGCCCTTGAAAAAAAAAAAGAGATACAACGTCGATTAAAAACATTTAATTTATTGGTACAGCAACACTTTTAGTAAACTCAATTTGTTAAGCCTTTGGCATGTATTAAAACACTCTGTTCAATAATTACGTTTACGGTGTGAGAAAGAATAGTTTAAAACTCAATAACTCCATTAATCTTTCATTGTGCATAGAATATACATTATCGTTTGTTTTTTTTTTTTAGTTGCTTTATATATACGTCCTTCAAACCAGAACGTGCGACTTGTTGAATATATGTAGCCTCCAAAATGCTTGCATTATTCTTATTCTTAAGTTGGAAAATGTGTACCAATCATGTCACACATAATAATTACACTTACACATATACTTATAAACCTAGTAATTGTAAAGTTATATTTTGTATTTAACGTGCATGTATAGTTTAAGCACCTATACAGTGCCATATCATACTTAAATAACACAATAAAATCACCCGAAATATTAAGGGACTTTGGTGTGATGCTGTTGCTTTGTTATCTTGAAAAACAACAATATTATCAAGCATTTCAACTTAGTTGTTATGTATGCTGGTTAACTCGTTTTCTGCTATTGTCTTCCATCTCTAACTTAATTGCATCTATAGATACAAAAACACAAATACAAGTTCTATAATGGTTCGAGATGATATTCCTTTAATAAGAGGTTTAACGTATGTTGGTTCTTTATAAAGACGTCACAAAGACAGAGCAATATTCTTCTGTAGAAATTGTCAAATGTGAGGTTAGAACGGGAATACAAAGTAGGTAATAAAACTCGTTCATTTTCATCATTTTTGTAGAAAGGTGAAGCAAGAAAGAAATTACCCCAAGCCATTTCAGTTTATCAATAAAAAAACAACTCATTCTGCTCCGAGCTAATATTCAGAAATGTACAAGTTTCTCAATAAGAGTATTAATATTTTTAATGGTTGTAGTGGAGTTTTATTCTCCTCAATTTTGTCCATATTCCATAAATAAAACTTTCTGTGTAACAGGTTATGTTTATCACAGCCGTGCCTCCATCTGTTAAAATACAATAATAATAATCAAACCTACATTTTAAACGTGTTTGCACTGGATAAATGCGTTAAACAAGGTGCATTTAAATAATATTAATATCAATTTCTCATTAGAGCAAGCTATCTACCTAAATCAAAAATATAAACCAACATCAACCTAGTAATAACTATATCTAATTAAATATACCGCTCTAAAGTTCTATTTCATAAAGATTTGAAAGCATTGTTTTCTTAGTTCCGTGCCCTCACCGTTAACAATATTTCTAGCCGTTAAACCAATAATATCTTACAAGGTTCAGCCGATTGAGAGATCTAGGTTAGTCTTAACTTCTTATACAAAGCTAACAATGTGAGAGTTAAGGACTTTAGAACTTATAACTAAAATCAGTTTGATAGTTATTTTTAATTCTAATACATTACTAAAATTAATGCATCGTGTATTGTAGCTATGAAATCAGTGTTTCGAATTTGCATTTCGGTGCTTTTCTATACAAGTTAAGCCTAAAGCTCTGTTGGTTGTTTCACTGTTTCAGAACTTTCGCGCAAAGCTACGTAAGAGTTATCTGCGCATAACCGTCCCTTATCTCAGTTTTTTTCTCTGTCATTAGAATGCGCACGCACCTTACTATCTAAGCGTGTATGCGTGCGCATTTCATTTCTACGGATGTAAACAAAAGAGGGATGTAAACATACTTTAGTAAACAATTTTTTACAACAACATATTAAAAGCTTACTGAAGTTTATAAAAAGGTCTAATCTTAGGTCGTCTAATATTTATTGTTAGTATTAAGTACGGTAAAGTTTAGGTCTAACTAAACAAAAGCAAAAAAAAAACAGATACAAGTTACAGTGTTAATTTATCTCGTTATCGAATATAGGCCGTACTTAATAAAGGCTTAATTAATGTTAGGCTTAAAACAAGCGGACTTCGGTGTCGGCGATTAGAATCCTTTTGTATTATTCTAGAAATCCTGTACTTAAAGAAGTATTATTGCAATAAAGATACTAGTCTGACTGCAAATGCTAGTTTTGAACTGTGTATGACCGATTTTACTGTCACTCTTATAGTGCACTCATATTTTCTTAAGTTGCGTGCTGATACCAACACAAGTGAATCCGTACTCCTCGCAATATCAAAAGATCTAATTCGGGTAGAGGGAAAATTGTTAATACTGCAAGAATTTCTTTGTTTGACTGATTTAGAGCTGAGCCACATTGAGCTATCTGGTATGTCCAACGCGGGTAATCGAACCTCGGATTTTAACATTGTAAGTCTGTAGATACTATGAGAAATCTGTCCCATAGTTCGTCATAGTGACGAACAAAAAAAATTGATGGTAAACTCCCCATGTCGTTTTCTTCTTTGTTGTGTACGAAGGATAGTTAAGCTATTTTACTTGTTTTATTTTTATGATGTAACAGACAAATTACAGCTTCGCATTTTTTTTCATTGCCTTTTTTTATGGATAAAAGCAATGGTAATTAGCTGTTACATAAAAAAAACTAATGAGTTGAATAAGTCAGATACAACTCTAGAGGCTTTACTGTTAATATTTAACACTAAATGACCTTAGAACCAGCGATGGAATATCAGCACTGAGTGCGCGCGCTCATTGCAGTTTGTAGTGGTCACAGCTGACCTGAAACGTATGATTTCAGGGCTGACGAACGAAAGCGTAACCAACCAATAATTCTGTTTCCGGGACTTTTTTGTTGTTGTTTCTTGCTAGGGGCGCTAACGGACATAGTCAAGTACGGTGTTTTTTTTTTTTGTTCTTTCAGGAATCTCACAAGGAGGCGGTCTTGGTTCACGGTAACTTAAACAAAGTGTGAAAGAAAACGAAGCGGAAGAACGTTAAGAATGAACGAACAGTGAAAGTCTCGCTGATAATACTTATGGTAATGGCGTCATATAAAGGTTTATTGTTAATGCATAAATAAAATTAAAAAAAAAACATCTTTTTAAAAATTATTAAAGATGCCAGTTGTTATGTCATCACAAACATTGTACGACAGCGCCCTCTAGAGGAGAACCATTCATTACATTGTACACTAAACTAGCGTGCGTTGTGAGGTGAATGTCTTGTGAAGTGTCAGTAGTTGGATCTGGCCCTGCATGGCCAGGTGGTTAGGGCACTCGACTCGCAATCTGAGGGTCGCGGTTTCCAAACATGTTCGCTCTTTCAGCCGTGGGGGCGTTATAAATGACGGTCAATCCCACTATTGGTTGGTAAAAGAGTAGCCCAAGAGTTGGCGGTGGGTGGTGATGACTAGCTACCTTCCCTCTAATCTTACACTGCTAAATTTGGGACGGCTAGCGCATATAGCCCTCGTGTAGCTTTGCGCGAAATTCAAAACAAACAAACAAGTCGTTGGATCACCAGTGTTGGAAATCTCTGAACGATGTTTACAGTTTACTATTTTTTTTCTACACGTCAGTTTTGAGATTAGTCACATTTTATTTTTAAAGAACGGAAAACAAATGATAAAAACAAGCGGTTGGCGAGTGATATTTTGATTGCGATTACAATTAAGTTATTGAAAAGTTTTTTTTTACTCAAATAACATGCTTTTCCGCTTGTTCAGATAAGCACTTATAATTTAGTTAATCCACGAATAAACCGTAATTCTGGTGATTGTTCACCCTCACCCCTGACGGCTTGAACATTTACGTAAAAAAAAAAAGCTGGAATTAATCATATTTTCGAAAATAATAGTATGAATATCATATAATATTTAGATAGACTGTATGCGTGCGCGCAGTAAAAATTACTATTATTTAAATGAAGAATACAAAGTATTGCGGTTTGGTTTTCATTGTCGATATGGCAGAGAAGATAGAAACGGTGTTTACAAAACTTCTGTGGGTAAGTCTGAGTTGAGGTAATATAATTATGTAATAAAACTAGAACAATAACATATTTCGTAGGTCTAAAGTTATCGTTTCCAAACCCTTTTTTTTTTACTCATACATTAAAAGAACGTCGTGAGTAAATATAACATACATCATTAAGAACTAAAGTAATATTATGATCGAGTTTCTGTTGAAGCGCTGAACTTATACTTAATTGTCCTTCAAATCTGCGGGTCCTAGGTTCGACTCCCACTGAATATGCTCGCCCATTAGCCGTGGGGATGTTATAATGTTACGGTCAATCCCACTTTTAGTTGGTAAAAAACTAGTTAGTTCAAGAGTTGATGGTGGGTGGTGTTGAGTAGCTGCCTTCTCTCTAGTCTATCGCTTCGCCCCCCAGTGGCAAAGCGGTATGTCTGCGGACTTACAACGCTAGAAACCGGGTTTCGATACCCGTGGTGGGCAGAGCACAGATAGCCCTTTGTGTAGTTTTGTGCTTAATTACAAACAATCAATCAACTATCGCTTCAAAATTATCGCAGATAGTCCTCGAGTAGTTTAGCGCCAAATTCAACAAAACAAACCTGGAAATTTGAAAATCGTTAACACTGTCATTTTGTTGTGGAAATTGAATAGAATCAGAGAGTAGACGGTCGAAAGGCTCGCCGTTCTTATATTCATTAAGTAAACCGACACGTAGTTTCTCTTACCACATTTCTTATTAGTCCATTCTGAAGCAACAATGTCACACGTACCACATTTATTAATTGTCCATTCTGAAGCAATAATGTCACACGTACCACATTTCTTAATAGTCCATTCTGAAGCAACAATGTCACACGTAACACATTTCTTAATTGTCTATTCTGAAGCAACAATGTCACACGTACCACATTTCTTATTAGTCCATTCTGAAGCAACAATGTCACACGTACCACATTTCTTAATAGTCTATTCTGAAGCAACAATGTCACACGTACCACATTTCTTAATAGTCCATTCTGAAGCAACAATGTCACACGTACCACATTTCTTAATAGTCCATTCTGAAGCAACAATGTCACACGTAACACATTTCTTAATTGTCTATTCTGAAGCAACAATGTCACACGTACCACATTTCTTAATAGTCCATTCTGAAGCAACAATGCCACACTTCTTAAGATGAAGTAATACTATGAAATGTAGGTTTGGTAAATAACTGACTTGACTTACTAACTATTTGATATTTACGTTAATTTTGAAATGTGAGACTCACTTGTCTCCAGGAGAACCAGAATGGCGATACCTTTTTTTGTTTTAATTTTGTTTATTTAAAGGATTGATAGAAGTAGAGCAGCGTAATAATCTTTAGATTTTGGTACAGAGATAATTTATTGAAGTCGTTTGATCATTATATAAACTACGAAAAAATCTAACGAATCAAAATTCAAAATAAGCAAAAAAAAAAAAACAAATCCCGCTAAGAACCAATGAAAACAAGTTCTGCTAATCTCCAGTGGAATGTTTTTAGTTAGTGTTATTATCTGTGAAAAAAATTAAAATAAAAATCACGTGCAACTAAAGACGTTTGGTATAATCTCAACATGTTAACAGAGCAACACGTAATATTTATATTCAACCACGACCAAAACCTTAACCCCTATTTTGATGTCTTTCCTGTGCAACTGTACTGTTTTACAGGAAAGGTAAGGACTGTATAGGATTAAATTAAATGTATTCTCGGGTTTATATACATATATGCTATATATTTTTCATCTCATATAGTTTTTACTTTTTTTTTGTGAAGACTATATCATACGGTTTTTACTTCGGTTATCATTACAAAGACTTAACCCAAGTTGCAAAGGGGGCATTTGCTTTCCAACATAAGAACCTTAAAAATGTAGTGAAATGAAAAACGGAAATAAGATATGTATACATCAGAAATAATTTTCTCACTTATTCCACTTCCAAAATATTGGCCCACAAATAGATATAGCAACAACGGAAGTAAACAGTAAAAAAATAAACTGTCAATGTTTTAAAGATAATTAAAGAATACATTGAACTTACAGTTAACTGTAACAGGGTTAGTATGTATCTATAAATATTGTGGCCGGAAGCCAACGTATTTTCGAGTAAATTTATGTGTGTAAGACACAGACGTTGATTAAAAATAAGCTAAGTAGACCAGAACATAAACGTAAGGAAGTCGAGGTTATGTAATAAACTACTTAAAACTTTCAAATGTCCAGTTCACAATAAAACAAAATAACCTTTAGAGACTAAAACGCACTGAGTTATGTGTTACGTACTCTTTCTATTAACGACGTTTTCGGCCGTAATCCCAACAATGTAAAAAAAATGAAGTATTTTTTTGAATAAAATAACATTTAAAAAAACGAATATTTTTGAGTAAATCTGTGTATAGGAAACTAAGCATAATTCGTTTCATATGCACAAATTATTTTATTTTTGTCTATTGTCAGAAAAAAAAATGACCTTTTTTACGTTTTTTTGAAATTATAATTTAGTAAAGTTTTTCGAAGTTAATATTAATCACTTTGAGAAAAAACTCATTACATACACACAAGTAAAATGTCCTTATATAAACATTATTTTTATAGAAAAGTCATTCTGTTTTCTTAACTTTGGGAATATAAATCCACTTACCTCAACAACGTTTCGGTAGTTACGAGTTCCAGGAACGATAGGAACTGTAACTGAATTTTTCAAACTGGAAGATACTAAGTTAGAGCTTCTTACTGGCGAACTGGTTAGGCTAGGTGCTGCTCGGTCTTGAATGAAGGAATGCCAGTTGGCCTTAGAGCGTCCTTGTCCCGTTAGAACTTGGCAATGACTACCTCGAGCAACGCAGACACCATGTATTGCTCTCAATATCTTTCACCTGCCCATGTTTTATAGGGGGGACTGCCGCGAAGCCTTCATCCAGAAAATGACGCCAAGCTCGTGAGCTGCTTGCTACTCGTGAACCGAGACGAGCACGCACAACTCAAGATTTCACCTCAGTCACTTACAGGAAAAAATTCTATGGTACTTCAAAGTTAGTCCACCAATCGTAGTGGAGTTACTCTGAGAAAGAACCTCTAGTTCGATTTTTATAGGAAGTCTATTGCCTCTAGATTCAGAGTTCATCACATTAAACAAACGGTTCGTGATCATATAGTAAAGTTTAATAACTCCTGAGACTCCATATTACTCAAATTACTAGTTTGTTTGTGCTTAAATAAAAACATACTGATGAGCAAAGCCCTTCATTTTGAGATAATCTCTAATCTCCAGCACCTGCTCAATACAAAAGGGCCGAGACTAATGAAATAGTTAATTAGCTCTTCGGCATATTACATGAGTAAGCGCGGGGATTAATATTATGATAACGAAAGAAAATATTGTCACGAAATCAGGCAGATAATCTACATAATGATAACGTGGAAAATCTACAAAGGCAATTTCCCTAGGAAATATTTCTTGGAGTCCTTACTGGTTTTAAGCAAACAAATGAGAGAGTTTTTAGCTCCACCTGCCAACTAATAATGGTTGCAGAATTTAATTCGGGTTAAAATCAGGTATAACATTATATAAGACCTACTTGTACATTTCGTGTAGTCACGTGCACGCCTTTGTAACATTTACACGTACATGTATTTGTATATATTTTGTATTTCTTAATAAAAACTTCTAAGTAAAAGTTTACGATAAAGCTAATAAGGCTATCTGCTACCACCCGTATTTCTGAACTACTAACCAGAGCCTTAGGCAGCCAATTAGCAGCACCCTACCACCCAATTAGCAGCACCCTACCACCCACGCTAAGAAATTCACTGTCACTGTTATAACGCACCCACAGCTTAAAGTGGAAAGAAATTTTCTGGTATCGCACGGGTTCAAAGCTGGCTCTCCAGCTCCAAACTCCATAACTTTACCACAGGGCCAACTCGCGCCCATATATTTACATGTATACAAATGTACTCCAAAAATAAAATTTTATGTTAGGAACTTTCACTTATATAATGATGTTTTACTTTTATAACCCCGTACCCTGTAAGTGGAAGACTTGATATTATTCGAGTTATAGTTTACATTCCATGTATTTCCAGGGGCATACTTTGATATTCCAGATTTATTATTATTATTGTTATTTTTAGCACAAACTACACAATGGGTTATCTGTGCTCCATCCATGCAATACAACCGCGTTGTTTTTGCGTTGTAAGTCTGTAAATGTATCATTGACCCCCACAGGCCAAATCCGGTGTTTTAGCGTTGTAAATCCATGGAAATTATGGCGTTTTTAAGTTTTCTGAAATATTCAAGATCAACGTATACGTTTTTAATTAATCATCAAATGCTGACTCTTTTGTATTGTTAGGTATACAATGACTGTTTCAATTTAAATTTAATGTAAGTGTTATGATTCAGATAGTTTATATAGCGCGAGTGTTAAACTTACAAAAAAAAAGAGACAATTATTTAAAGCTCTGGATACAACTATGATAACAAACAGTTATAGTGGTGATTTTAAAGTGAAATTATCACAGACTGTATTGTAATAACAGAGCAGAGAAGAATAATTCGTCCTGTCAATTGTGTTCTAAAGTAACTGAACCAGCCTTGTGGATTTTGAAGAAAAAGAGACAATTATTTAAAGCTCTGGATACAACTGTGGTGATTAACTGTATAACGAACATTTGTATATACGTTTGACTTGTGTTGATATATTATTTTAAAACAGCTTGACTGTGTGCTGTTTGTTTATTGGTGAAATTTATCGCCAACAAGTCACAAGTACCTGCTGAAAAGAATTCAGCCCATACATAAAAACTTGATAAGTATCTTTGTCTAAAAAATCTGATTTGTACAGAGAAAATGTTAATTATTTATAAGTGTTTTAAAAATATTATGAAATATCTTGACCTTGGGTCAAGTGATTTCAAGGTTATGAAAAGATCCATGCGAAGTTTTGGAAACATGTCAGGCCCACAAGTCAAAGTTTTGTATTAATTTGTCATTTCAGGATATTTTGAAAATTCAGAAATAGACAACATGACGTGGAAAATCTACAATGGAAATTTCTTTAGGAAATATTTCTTGAAGTCCATACTGGTTTCAAACAGACAAATGAGAAAGTTTATAGCTCCATCTGCCGACTAATAATGATTTATAGTTTTGTTTCGTTTGTTTGTTTTTTGAATTTCGCGCAAAGCTACACGAGGGCTATTTGCCAGAGTTCGCGGTGGGTGGTGATGACTAGCCGCCTTCCCTCTAGACTTTCACTGCTAAATTAGGGACGGCTAGCGCAGATAGCCCTCGTGTAGCTTTGCGCGAAATTCAAAACAAAACTCACGTCAGTTAAGCCAGATACAAATAATCTTTAACATCAACTTGTGTTTGATGTTCGATTAAATTCATATATACACGTAATTAGCTCTACCACACACACACACACACACACACATCAGTTCAGAGCCTATATATCTTTATCTATCCTTGAGGTGTATAGTTACACACACGAAGTGAAGTTGGTTACTTCAGTTACGTCAATGCATAGTTTTGACCAAAACCACTTAAACTTAAAAATATAGAACTTTATAAAGGACAATTGTACACATAAACTCATCAAGCGTCGGAAGTGAAATGGGGGTGGGGGTAAAGTTGAAAGTGAATCAAGTTTTTCAGAAATGTACCAGAAAAACTGGTGGGTGTCGAGATGCTTTCCTCCGTTTAATAAAATCTATATGTTTTATTACGAAATGTTTTATAACAGAAACTCAATCCAATTGGGGAATTTCTAAAACTGACGAAATTTATAGGGTGGAGTAAGTGTTGGACCTCCTGTATAGGAGATGGGGATTCTAGTCCCCCTAATGCCCCTTGCTTCAACGCCTGTGAATTATATATATATATATATGTGTGTGTGTGTGTATTATTATTATAATATCAAAACATCTTAGGTGTGAAAAAAATATTCAGCCGTAAAGGAATGAAATCAAAATTGGCGGCCAAACTGGTAGCTACACTTATAGCATTGATCAGTATTTTACAGCAAATATTTATTCATTAGTTTGCTATTAGTTTTTTTTTTCACACCTAAGATGTTTTTGATTAGATATCATAACTTTTTGTCAATACACACCAACAAACCACAGTAAGTAAGAAAGTGACACTTGATAGTAACCAGCATTAGCTTTAGGATCGCAACCCTATTATTCGGAACAGAACTATACTTTACAGAACTAACCAGATTCTTTAAAATATATGGTTGTAGTTTTCCTCTCTAAAACAGTATTAATAACTTCCTTTATAGTAACGCCATGGAATCTAGATTAATAGTTGCGTGTCATCACTCGCATGGACTCGGCACATAAGCATAATTATTTAAGCTAATTGCTTAGGCTAATATCACGTGACGCTAAACGCTCTTTCATTGGGAGAATTTCATAAAAGTTAGCAAATTTATGCTTAAAAGTTGGCATTGAACAATAAATAATAACCGTCCACCGGTATGATTCTTTTGAAAACTTGAGCTAGAAACTGCTAATCTAATTTGCTTGGCCTAACCAATACTTCTGTATCTGAACGTCCTTTCGTCCTATAGTTTGCTGCTCTAACTCAACCGTCTTTAATCCGAATGTCAAAAACTAAATAGGGTCCTCTTTACTCTTAGGAAAAGCTGCAGTAAAAATTTTAGACCGATAGCTCACGTGACGTTTTGCGTAGGCGTGTGCAAACATTTTGGACAAATTTGAGCGGTTTTTGTTGAATAACTTTGCACATGTGGCTTATATTTAGACCAAATTTGACAGTTAATTGTAGGTTATAAACATCTATCAGTGTACTGAATTTGAAAAAAAATCCATAAAAGTTAAGTATGTTTTTCTATCAAATAAATTTTCCGTACTTTCGGTGCGAAAAAAAAAAGGAAAAAAAATTCAATAAAAATTGGAGATTTTATATCTCGTGTATTTCTTAATGGATTGCCTTGGAGCTTGGTATGTGAAGTAAGGGTCCAGTATAACACATCCACTGAAAATGTGTGATAGTTTGGATTATCACAGTCCGAGCTACAGGAAGTGTAAAATCGTTAAACTATCACTCCCTGTTAATAACACACAGTGTGTCCTGCAGGTTGTTTTGGCCACACGACAGCCTACCGTATGTCTTGATATCCAAAGTATACACACACACACACACATATATATATATATATATACCAAGCTAATTTGTTTTCTAATACAACGCATGATTGACTGCTATCTAGAGTGTTCAGTGTAAAATTAAATTTTTATTATTAGATGCGGAGAACGATTTTACTGAAACCGAAAAAAGACATCTCTCGTGAAACTTCGTGCGCTTAATATTTGCTGTTATGTGACGAACTTTTTGAAATAAGCGAGAACATTGGTATTAATTAGTGTTATATTAGTGTACATTTTGTTGGTGTTTGGTCTTATACTTTTATATAAACGTATATGTTGTCATTGAACTTCTTCTCTACGCGGAAGTGGACAAAACTAGCTAACGTGGTGTGATACATTGAAGATCACTGAGGTACAGCCTTGTTATACACTAAAGATCAAATACCGTAACTTAACACGAACCTGAGATATTCACAACGAATTCACTTCGATTTTTGTTGGATGGCATATATGATGTCATCATGGTCACACGCGTAATTCATAACTGATCAACGAAACGCTGACTGAACTAACCACGAATCTGATTAGCTTCATGGTTCAGAGTAGAAGAAAAACAACACTTCGATTACTATCGTCTGCAGACGTTCACTAACCGTGAGAAGTTCGTATGGAACACTGCGCCTTTCGTACTTCACTCTGTGCTCCTGACGTCACTGCACTGAGAACATCGGAAAGTAAAGAGGAGCGCGCGACACTTGAAGACGTTCCACCCATTGATCGC